GTTTTTCGAGTTTAAGGCTTGTCAACTGTGTTTGGGATTTTGAAGCTTGTTATAGGTTTTTTGGTTTAATGATGGTTACTGGTTCTTATTGTGAATAATTGCTCTCTTTTGCTGGCTTTTTGTTCTTCTAGTTTTCTGGATTTTTTGGATATCTCTCACTTCTCCCAAACGCTTCTGTTATAACCATCAGAAAATGGTGGGAAACCAAAATGTATTTGAATATTTTGGTATGCTGTTCTAATGGCCCTTTTGTTGCAGTTTTGTTTTTTTTTTTCATTTTTTATGCAAATCGTGACAGATTGTGGGCAGGGCAGCAAGGCTGTTTGGACTGTTTTTATATTTTACAGCAGCTCTTCTTTTGTAGCAGAGCTTTTGCAGGATGTATTTTGGGAAATTCTAATAGCCTAGGTGACTTCTTTCCTCTCTTATCTCTCAATGACAATAAAAAAGCAATTTGCTCTTTTGCCTTTTTTACTAATCTGAAAGGTTTGCAGTTTGGAAAATGATGATATCTCATTTCTTGAGCAAGTTTTGTTTGATTTAGCATCTAGCTATTTGTCATACTTGCCACACTGCTGCCTCGTTTTAGCTTTTGTTTGTGCGGTTGGTTTGGACTGTTGTAATGCTGCTGTTTGTTTGTCCAGTTTGTGATGTTGTTTGTTGTTTGGTTCAGTTTGTGATGTTGTTTGTTGTTTATCCAGTTTGTAATGCTGCTATTGTTTGGTTCAGTTTGTGATGTTGTTTGTTGTTTGGTTCAGTTTGTGATGTTGTTTTTTGTTTATCCAGTTTGTAATGTTGTTGTTGTTTGGTTCAGTTTGTGATGCTGTTTGTTGTGACTGTTGTGGCATTTTGTTATTGTAGCATGCTCGCGAATTTCTCTTCTTCTTTCTTTTTGTGAACCAAGAAGGGTAACCTTCTTGTGATTTGCAATTAGGGGAAATATATTGTGATGAATTAAATAGTATTCTGATTCCACATTGCAAACCTTAATGATGAATACCTTTTGGAAAATTTCTTGTTCATGCCCATATAATTTTGTACTAATCATGTTTTCTTTCTCTTGTTTTCATGTGAACAAAATTGGAGATGACAAAGCAAAGAACGTAAGAAATTTGTGGCAAGCATGGAAGTCTTGGAGATAAGCAAAGGAATCTGATACGACTTCAATCTTCAAACAACTTAGACATAAATTAATTCTCCTATGCCAAATATTCATTTGGATTTTCTTTGTAACTTAGAAAGATCATTCTTGTATTTTGATGTATTGTATCCAATAGTTGTAACAATTTATCTTTTAAATACAATAAGTTGTAAAACATAAAGTATTAAAAGAAATAAATTGTTTTTTGGTAACAATCTTGGACAGTGTGTGTGAAATTGGAGAAAATCTTGAGTTGTAGCATGAAGTATTTTGGTGTCATTTTATAACTTGAAATCCTTTATCAACAACAACTTGTAATTTCTCTTCGCATCCTAATTGATTTTTTTTTTTAAATTCCCAATCAGGATATTTGAAATAAAATGCTCCAGTCTGGTAACTTAAATTCCAAATAATCCCAATAACTTTGTAACTACATTTCAAACAAACACGCACTGTGTACTCCATTTCCTAACCAAACAAATGTTTTAAGGACATAAATCATCTGGTCAACCTGGATCCCAAAATCATGATTGTCCTAAATGATAGTCTTAACCTCCATCTCTTGTCCCAAACAAATCATGCTCTGAGAACAAACATTATCCTTTCAGTAAACTGTGTTTTAAGAAAATTCAAAATCAATCAAATGTCTTGCAATGATTTGATAATTTTAAAGTTTTCCGAACTTAAATTTCTTCCGATTCTTTGAAAATAAACCTGTGAGCGACATCACGTGTGACCATGAACAGACATAATCGTCTCAAAATTTGTAGCTTGAAGAAATCATAAATACAACCTTGAGGAAGCATGAAGACCTATGAAGGCTAATTGGATCTTTGAAAACTCATTTTCTTTTTGAAAATTGCAAAAAACCCTAATTGCTGCTTTATTGCCCCAGAAGAGAATCTGTCTGGTCGATTTCTGAGCCAACTTGAATATCCGAGAAACTCTAGGATTGTGTCTTCTATGAAAAATGGGAGGGCAAATTTTGGGGTACAACAATGTCGTCCATGTATACCTCGAGCGTACCCCCGATTTGGTTACAGAAGACTTTGTTCATCATCCACTGATACGCTGCTCCTGCGTTTTTCAGACCGAATGGAATTACGTTGTAGTAATAGTTGCCCGAGCTAGTCATGAAAGCGGTGAAGTGTTTATCTCCTATTGCCATCGAGATTTGGTTGTAGCCCGAATAGGCATCCATAAATGATAGAATTTTATTGCTGGCCGAGTTGTCGACTAGCATATCAATATTAGGTAATGGGAGCGCATCTTCGGGGCATGTCCGGTTAAGATCGTTGTAGTCAACGCACATTCGCCATTTCGCATTATTTTTCTTAACAAGTACAACATTTGACAGCCAGGTTAAATACCGGGCTTCAGAAATAAAATTTCCCTCTATGAGGTCATTTACAACTTTTTCAGCAGCCTCCGCTTTCTCCGGAGACTGCCTACGTATACGTTGTACTACTGCCCTAGCGGCTGGATCAATGGTGAGTTGATGACAGGCGACCTCAGGGTCGAGACCGGGTATCTCCGCAACCCTCCATGCAAACAGATCCGCATTTTCTCTCAAGCAAGCCTTGATCTGCTTTCTTGCTAAGTCGGGGAGTCCGGTGCCAATCTTCACTCCTCTGCTTGGGTCTTCACCGAGGGGGACGAGCTTGAAGTCCCCATTCGGAATTGGTCGGAGGGGAACCTGCTCGCCGCTCGGGGGCTCATCCTGGTCGAAGCGAGTGTCCATAGAGATCGAGTCGACCTTTGGAGGGTCCCTCTGTTCTTCTACTTTGACGGGCTCTGACCACTGAGGCTCTGATCGCGCAGTTGCAACTTTCTTGGCGGGCCGTGTGCTGGTGTCGATTGTGTTGTGTCCCTTGGACGCCGCGTTGAAGCACCTTCGGGAAGTTTCCAGATCTCCTTGAATAGTGGCAACCCGGGCCCTCTTGGTGTACAACTTCATCTTTAAGTGGACGGTGGAGGGCAACGGGGTCAGCTCTGCCAGTGTCGGCCTTTCGAGAATGCAGTTGTAGAGGGACGGGCATTCGATGACGAGGAAGTGCACCTTGACCTGCCTGGTAGTGGTATCCTCGCCGAACGTGACCATAATCTCTACGTACCCCCACGTCTTGGACATCGAGCCGTTAAATCCCTACAGGTCTGACCCCACGTATGGTGAAAGGTGAGAGTCATCGAGCTGCAGGGTTCTGAACAGCTAGTTGTACATCACGTCGACGGAACTTCCCTCGTCGACGAGGATGCGATGTACGTCGAAGTTGGCCATTCTCTCTCTTATCAGCAGAGGTATGGCCGAATTTGGGGGCCCTCCGGGGAGCTCCTCGAGGTAAAAGGTGATCGACTATGATCTGCCTTTCACTCTTTTGAAGGTCACTGTTTATGGGGGAGCCGCGTCGACCAGCTCATCCAGCTTTCTCTTAGCTGAGTTTATGGTCAAATCATTAAACCCTCCACCATTGATGACCATGGCGGAGGGGAAGTTTTCCCACCTGCTGTGCGTAGACAGAGGCTCTTGCAGATGTTCGGGGATATAGAAGTCCTCGGGTCTTGTGATGGAGAATGCGGTTTGGATGGGAACCGACTCGTCAGATGGTCGGGCATCCTCTTCTACTTCCCTCGTCTCACGGGCATCCCGAAGAGGAGCGTTGTTTCACCGATATTGTGCAAGTTTTCCCCCTTTTATGAGGGTCTCAATGGCGTCCTTGAGGTGGACGCAGTCTTCGGTCAAGTGCCTGTGGCTCCGGTGATATTGGCAGTATTTGCTTCAGTCTACCCCGGGTTTGGCAGGAGCGGGGCGGGGACGCTTTACGCCACCGTCCTTGAAGTCTGTACTTGCGCACTCCACTAATATGCGCTCGCGGGAAGCCGTTAGCGGAGTGTATTCAGTGAACCTCCCTGAGGGCCCCCTTTATTCGCAGGCGTCTCGGGGTTTATCGTCCCTTCTCTTCTCTCCAGTTTGTCAAGAAAGGGCGATGTCTTGTCGTGGATTACTGCTGGATCCGCAGTTCCTAGGATCTCGGACTCTGTTGGCCGCTTCTCTCTCCTCGTAGTCCATATAGGCCTTAGCCTTCTCGAGGAGGGCATCGAACGTTCGGGGTGGTTCGATTCCTACGGCTTTTCTGAATTCGGTGCCCGGGAGAAGCCCCCTCTCGAGTAGGTACCTCTTCATATGGTCCATGCAGGGGACCTGGATGGCTTCTCGGTTGAAGCGGTCAATGAATTCTCTCAAGGTCTCATCGTGTCTCTAGATGATGGCCTCAAGTGCTGCTTCGGTCTTCGGGTGTCGTCGCGAAGCAGTGAACGAGCTGATGAACTAGTTCTTCAGGTTTCTCCAAGAGGTAATTGACCACGGGGCGAGACCTTTATACCATTCCATATCCGCTTTCCTCAGAGTCGTGGGGAACAACCGGCACTTGATTGGTCCCCCGACGTTCTGGTAGTGCAGCATGGCTTCGAACCCGTCTATATGGTCGACCGGGTCGGTGATGCCGTCGTACTCCTTTAAGTGGGGAGGCTTCTCCATGCCCGGGGGAATGGGCGCCTCCATGATAGCTTGTGACAAGGGACCGCTGGAGTCGTCCTCGTCACTCCGTTCGGGAGAGTGAGACGGAAATCCGATATAGTGGCGGTCACGGTGGCCCTGGTCGCGCGGAGCGTTCCTTGGGAGGTATGACCATTGATGGTTTCCCCCGTGCCTGTCTCAGGGGGGTCTTCGTTCTTGCTACGTGTGGCCATGGTCGCGCCTTCCTGCGTCAACGAGATGTTCCCTATACAAAGGGGGTCGTCGCCCGAGTTGTCGGGGTGACGGGCTTCGAGAGATGTCTCGATTCTATCTCTACGGGGGAGATTAGGGATGTTCATCTGCTTGTCGAGGGGGAGGAGATTGAGGTCTCCTGTGTCTTCTCGGAGGCCTTCGATCGTCCTCGAGCGCCCTCAGTCTTTCCCCCTGGGAGGAGATTAGATAGTTAGTTTGATTGATTGCCGCGAACAGTTCCCTGGTCGTGGCGTCTGTCCCGGCGGGGACGGGGACCTCGTGAAATTGGACGAGTGGATAGTTCAGGGGAGGTGGTCGACCTTCTTCAAGTCGAGGCGGCATGGATGAAGATGAAGTTGTGGCTTCGTCTCTATAGTTAGAAGGTCCAGGCATGTTGACGCCAGGGACTGTGTTATGGCCGGCGGTACCTGCGTTGTCGAGGCCGACATTATTTTCGGTGATGGTGTTGTTAACATGATGACACAGACGTTCTGGTTGTCCGGAGTCTGATCAGCCATGACAGTCAGGATTGTTTAGCTTTGGTCTCAAGTGAATAGAAGACGGGGAAGCTTAGATTCCCACGCGGAATGAGCAAGCAAGTATGAGTTTGAGATGTGTGAATGAATATCTGACCCTCTTGTGAGAGAGGATATTTATAGCCCCGAGCGTTGGGCCAAGGTCCCCACTATTAGGCCACGCGGAGGCCCATTAACGGAACTGTCATGATTTACATGTGTATGGAGTCCAGCAAGTGGACTCCCCCCTAGTCAACTGCTCCGCGAGAATAGGGTTGGTCCCCAGTTTTTCGGAGGACAGTTTGAAATGTCTGTCAAGAGGTCGTGGACCACATCTCCCAACGGTCCCTAACTTTGGCTGTCTTTGAACTTCTCGCTCGTAGGACAAATATAGGCCCAATTCAGATTATATATATATATATATATATATATATATATATATATATATATATATATATATATATATATATATATATATATATATATATATATATATATATATATATATATATATATATATATATATATATATATATATATATATATATATATATATATATATATATATATATATATATATATATATATATATATATATATATATATATATATATATATATATATATATATATATATATATATATATATATATATATATATATATATATATATATATATATATATATATATATATATATATATATATATATATATATATATATATATATATGTGTGTGAAGTTGATATACAGGGTATACTATATAATAAATTTTGTCCAATTACACACTCATTTTTATAATAGTCTGTCCTTCATAATAGAAGCTGCTCAAACATATAATTAGTCAAGTAGTAGTAATTAATACTATTAAATAATATAAATAGTATCATCACAACTATAAACTTAAAAAAATTTACTTATTAAATAAAAATACCTAAATTGTTTTTCTTTTTTCTGCTAAATTTAGTTGTGAAATGATCAATTTTGGTGTGAATCTAACCGATGAAAAAATTGATGAAATGATTATGAGAGGATGATGTTGATGGTGATGGTCAAATTAATTATGATGAATTTGTTTAGGTTATAATGACCAAGTGAAATTACCAAGCTCATATATAATACTACTACACCTTATAATATGTAAAACCTTTCTTCAATTCTCTTTCAGTTATTCAATATCATGATTGGAGTGTATTTGAATATACATAATACTACTACACCATATATATGGTAATTAATTAAGGTTACAATGCAAGATCATCCATAAAATGATCACCTGATGAGTAATAGGTAAGATTAGAGTAGATATTTTATTTTCTTTTCATTTAGCACTAATAACCAAAAAGAAGAGTGGCACTATAATTAGTTAAGTAGTAGTAGTTAATACTAGCTAGTTGAAGTAGCAACAAAAATCAATGATAAAGAGTTTATGCTGCTGGAGCATAATCATAACCACCATCGTCGTCATCGTCTCCTTCATCACAAACTACAGGAGGATAGCCATACCAAACATCATCATTTCCATTTTCAATAAGCTTCTTGCACCATGGAGCAACATCTCGGGAAATATATGCCATTTTTTTACAAGTATAGGACAGCAAACAAGAAGAGCAAGATCTAGTGTACTAAGTTAATATAAGCTTTTGATTAGTGTGTGATTGTTGATTTGTCATGAGACTCGATAATATATGCTGTAATATATAAAGGAAAAGGGGAAGTGTGAGACTTGTTACTAGAACAAGAAAAGCACGAGAGAAGTGTGGATTTATGGTTGGAATGTGAGTTTGAGATGTGTTGTGTTATACTGTTTGGCCACATAGGAATTCCAATTCACACAACTCAGCAGAACAAATTGATGGTGTTGGAGGGAATCCATGAGTGCAAGGTTGTCGTCATTTTAACTATTTACAACACTAACATTTAGGGGTGCATATCGGCAAGATGAGGAATCCCCTTGTTGCCAGCTAGTTATATGGTTAGAACTCTTTGAAGTATTGATAAGGGACAAACTATTTGAAGTATTTATTGTTATTTGGCTCATCAGTCATCAAATTGGTTTGATTAAAAAGATTAAATATCATCTTGTTAAATCTATATTATATCTATTCATATTTAATTAATTTGTACATAGTAGACTTGATTTTTTAATCGTTATTTTTTATTTTTATATATCCTTTAATGTTTTAGTGTACGAGTGGATAAGAGAAAAATATGTATGTGTAAAATTTACTGTGGATTTCCGTTTGTTAGGACTTTGAAGTTTTACAATAAGATATACAATTATTAAAAGCTATCTCAAGTAAAGTGGTCAAGAATGAGAAAAACGTGTTTGGACAATCAACATGTTTTCATGTTATAAACATTTGATATTTTTAGCTCTTTAGTACCAGAAGCATTGAATCTTTTATAAAGAGTTTAAAAGCTTATGCATAGCAATATTGTGTCTTCTAGGACGGCAAACTTAATTTTTAAGAGGATTGGTGTATCAACATAAAAAAAAGGTAGTGATGCAACTTGTTTCCTGTTTCCCTTGCATTTAAGTGTAATGATATACCTTTTAAATTATCTAGATTTCACGAAATGGTTCATTAACCCTTAGTTTAGTATTTGTTCGATAGAAAAAAAGTAAATACAAATTGTCATGCCTTGGCCAAAAAGCCTAATAATGAAAAGTCTCATATCTGGTCAAGGCCTTGAAAATCTTATTAGAATCAGCTTTTAAAGTGAGAATTGTCACTCTGTATAAATTCTTTTGAGGCTCTATCTCAAATCAGTGTTGGATTTTGGATTTTTCTAATACCCCCTCACGCCTAACACTCTGTCGGGTTTGGTGCATGAATATAAACGGTAGACGGTCCATGATCAGATCGATAGGCTCTGATACCATACTAGAGTTTGATCTAGTGTATCCTTACCAAACTGGCTTTTAAGATGAGGGATATCACTCTATATAAACTCTTTCAAAGGCTCTATCTCCAACCAATGCGAGATTTGAGATTTTTCTAATACATCTCAACGAAATATCTTATATAAGGTACCCCACGTGAAGGTAAATATATGATTCAAATTTATTCTCACCTTTATATGATTCTTAATTCTCTTACTAACTTAGATGTTTAAGTACTAACTATGTAGGTCATCCCCTTCTCCGCCGCACCTTGTTGGAAGTGATGTAGCGGCAAGCAACAAAAGTTTGACAAATATTTATCCGGAAATTTATTGTGTCCACAAAGATTGGTTATTGAATTGTCGTTCGACAAATCTCTCGTTAATGAGTTTAGGGATAAATGGATTTGTAAAGAAAATGTTATCAACAGAAAATAAATGTAAACAAAAGTAAAAACTAAGGAAGAACTTATCAAGCCTGCATATACTCCACTCATCACAGACTTAAATCTACCGACCTATTACATTCAACCTAACAATATTCATCAATGTCACTACGTATCACTCACAACCTAAGTCATTTCTAACCCAAATCGAGAGACTGACTGTATCACCAAGGAAATGATCTCTTTAACTCCTCAACAACACATAAGACAACTATTTAATCACGCTGACGATCTCTCAGTACAACACAACCACATAGAGGCATTAAGCTCGAATATCCAAGTAGATGTCAGCTCTAAATCTATCTCTAGAGTTCAGAAACTAACAGATAATCACCCTAGATAAGTATCTAAGCAGTATATGTCTATAACAACTCAAATTGCTAGCACCGAGCAAAAATCTAAGAAAATAATCGATAAATATTTATAAGCAAGTTTAATATAACGCCATGGGCGACAAATATACATGAGTACAAAGTAAATACATATACAAACTCAACACATAAAGAATACACAAAGAGGAAGAGAAATGAACCACAAATCTCACGGTTTGTCAGTGCCGATTGATGAGCAATCCACCCCGGATCATCTGTATGCAAGCTTCAATGTTCTTTTCTAAGCTAATCCTATCCAAAAATGAAGGTTGATGGAGTTGGGATAAAAATACCCAAAATCATACCCAAAAAATGTGTTTTTACACCTAAATACACATTTCAGACTGTCCAGCATCGCCCGACGACCAAAAAGCGTCACCCGGCAACAAAAACAACGTTTTTCCCACACTACAGCTCGCCTAGCATCGTCCGGCGACGGATGACAGAAGGTTGAAAAATCAGCACAGTATTCTGCAATGTTTCGGCCATAACTTTTGAACTGTAACACCGATTCGTGCCCAGTTCGAAGCGTTAGAAAGCTTATTCAATGATATTTCTAAAAATGACAAAATATAAACCAAAATTATGATTTCTTATTCTTTGATTTTGAGCCTTATTCGTTGACGAGTTGCTCAAAATCGCATGTTTGAAGCTGTGTCTTCGACACTTTATTGCTCATGCTCCAAATATGCATCAATACCTACAAAATGAATGGAAAATATCAAACGGTACCCTATGTATTTATACAAAAGTAGGGTTTATTCAATGATATTAATAACAAAAAGTTGATAAGTGCAACAAAAAGTATATAAAAAAATAACTACAATTTGCACTTATCAAACTATCTCCAACTTCAACTATTGTTTGTTCTCAAACAAAGTCAAATAACATATAGAACAAATAATGATAAATCAAAGAATCACGAATCAACAGGTTTTGAACATGGAAAATAAATGCAGTGGTTCAAATGAAGATAACATACTTACCACTAAACTACGACGATAACATAAACATGAAACAAATGCTAAATACAAAGAATATGCTAAACATTCTAAAAAAATATTAGTTCAGAAATGAATCACATTGTTGTACCCCAAAATTTTACCTCTCATTTATCAAGAATTTTCTCACAAGATATCCTTGGGCTCAAGACTGCACTAGGGTTTGATCAGCTCAAGACACCTCCTTAAGCACTGATGACCTAAAATTAGGGTTTGAGATTGCACAAGGATATTTGAACTTCCAATGCCCCATATGACCTTCATGGATCACTATGGAACTTCAAGATTACTCATGTCAAGTTTCAAGCTTTGGATCACACTTTTGCTCAGTCAATTGAGCAGTTGATCTAAAAATCAATTGTATTGGAGAAAAAGTCAACTATGGCCAGTTTATAGTCAAACTTCATAATTTTTGATCCACAACAAAATTTTAAACTCATATGTATCATTTGATCAAGTTTGGACCATAATTCCTCAAGAAATTTGATCAAATCTTCAAAAGGGCAAAATGGTCAAAATTAGGGTTTTGACTAGGAAAGGGCAATTTCTGATTTTTGACCTAGAAAATGATCAATTGGCTTAAGGCATGATCTCAAGAGTCAAATTGCATCATTTTAACCTAATCACATGGCTCAAACATTGCTCAAGTCCAATGGATTGACAGATGAATTTTTCAGTCAATTTATCAAAAAGTCAACTGTATACTGAAAAGTCAAACTTTGACTTTTTGGTCAAATTCAAATGCGAAAGATCACAATTCATAAAAACATGTCAAAATATGAAAATTATTCATCAATAAATCCAAAATTCAAGATTTCATTTTGAAAAGTTAAAATTTCTAAACTTAGAAATTTTTCGAAGTGTTGGAAATTTCTTATTTTTTCATAACTTTGAGCAAAATTTTCACCATGATGCAAGGTGATTGAAGAGAAACTTCCAACATGAAAGTTGTAGATCTCTAAGAAATCTACAACTTTTCTTCACACAAATTCTTCCAAAAGTTCTTGGATCTCAAGTTATAATTTTAAGAACATGTGGTCATGAAACAAAACACTTAGTGAAATTTTGCCCTAATTTGGTCAGGATTTTGACCCAAGTTCATGGCACTTTTTCATATAGTTACAAGTGGAATATTCAAAAGAAATTCAAATATGGGTTGTATATCACATTTCAAACTTTCCAAAATGTCCAAGAACTCTTTGAGATCATTTTTTAGTAGGGAGAATCGAAGAGATGAAGTTAGGGTTTTATCACTTAAATTGCAAGTCATTTTGTGATGAATACAATTCAAATTCAAAGTTATTCTGCATAACCTCTAATTTTCAGGCCTCAAACTTGTTAGGCACTCCATAATTTAGTTCTTGCACATCTGTTAGAGGTCTAATTTCAAGCATTCAATGCAAGGCCATGCTTTATATTCATTTTTGGAAGAAAGTGCACATTGCCATTTTGATAAAGTGAATTTTTGCACAAAACTTGTTCTTGAGCCTTGCACTTGTTCTCTTCCCATCATACATGTCTTATAACACATGATAAATGTTTTAGACACTTACAATCACCCATCCCATGCTTGTACTACACATTGAAACTTGGTTTCCCACTTTTTCTGAAAATTAAGTAACATAGAAAAAAGCTTGAAACTTGTACTTCTGACTTGCAAAACCACTCAAACTCTTTTGTTTATACATAGACAAACTATTTGCCACAAAATACCTGCATGCTTAACCCCTAAAAACACCAAGAGCTCAGAATCACATCTAATACCTCCATTTTCACATAAATTGACCAAAAACTTGAAACTCATAACTCCCTCGTGCGTTTTCAAGCTTCTTTGTTCCTAAAGCTTCTAAACATCATTTAGAACTTATACGAC